CGCTTTGAGGCTCGGCGAGGCCTGGGCGAGGCCACGCCTGGAACGCAAAACGTATTGGCACAAGGACAAAGCGAGGCTCATGGGGAGTCGAAACTGTATAATACTATTGTTGAAGTCCCAGGAAGGCTGAACTTGAAGTAGTTGGTGCCTGTGCTGCCTCGCTAGAATTTTAAGCCGCAGGTGGCGCAAAGGGACGGCCTCAAGGCAAGTAGTTGGTGCCTATGCTGTCTCGCTAGAATTTTAAGCCTCAGCTGGTGCAAAGGGACGGCCTCAAGGCAAGCCTCGAAGCCTCAAGGCTATGGAAATTGGAGCAAAACAATATGACAAAGAAGGGACCCGTTTTTGGACCTCAAAACGTAAGAAAAAGACGCAAAAATGGGCCTCCCCAGTAAGTCAATGCGTCCGGATCTACTGGTGAAAGTTGTACAGACTGGCGGTAATTCAATGACATGGAGCGCATCAACATGATGCGTGGCCTGAGCCACCAGCTGAAATGCCCGCTTGGAAAATTGTAAAGACCTGGTAGCCTGAACTGCCACGTGAGAACAGTCGAGGTCCCTTTCTGGCCGCCATGTTTCTACTGGTTCTTTGGATCCTGTTTTCGGAGCCATGATGAAGCAGGCTTGTCGCCAAACACAAAGTCTTTGGCTGCTGAATGTTTTGTTGGCGTTCGTTTGGAGGTGCTGAATTTCTTGACTCCTGTCTGCGTGGACTGATTGTTTTGGTTGCTTGCATTTGGTGCAGGTGTGTTTGTTTTGGACAGATGTCGTTGACACACTTCCTGGATCTAGGTTGGTGGGTTGGTGCCTAGAAAGTGTATTTTTTGCTGATACGAACACAGCTACAATTTTTATCCCGCACCCACTGTCAATTTGGGAGTAGAACCAAGAGGGGACAGCGAAAAGCCAAGACGGTCAACAAAACGGAAGATTGGCCAATGTAAAGCGTAAAGTTGCAACGGCCCTTTCAATGCTGGTGTAACCTGTTTAAAAATAAAGATATTCATGTGCATTTGCTCCAATTTCAGCCGTCGAGACTTGCCTCGAAAGTTCTCTCATCCTTACATTTTTTGTTTTGTTGCAATTTCTATGTCTCGAGGCTGCCTCGAAGCCTGCTTTGAAGCTTGCCGCCAGGCTCATCCTTGAAAGATTGTTTGTTTTGCTCCAAGTTCGCATGGCGCGAACCAGAGTTGCAACAGAGGATGCAAATGCCTTTTTCCCGTCTTGCAGAAAGCGCGCTGTTTTGCGCTAACTTTGCTGTCGCCCCTGCGGGTTTGCTTTGCTTGGCATGTGCAATACTTCTGGCAGACAGTGTGAAAACTGACAGCGTTTACAGAGGGTGAGCGTGTAGTGCAGCCAGTTGTGGCACTACACGGCAGGTTTCTGTGCACAAACCTTCGCAGGCGCAGTTTTCAAAAGGAAACATGGCCACCCCACAGCTTAAACCCTGCTGCGGCTGAAGCTGTGAGGTGCCCACGATTGTTTGTCAAATACTTGCCACAGGCTAAACTGTGAGGTGGCCATGTTTGCTCGTCAAAAACTGCCCCTACCAGGGTTTACGCTGTGTAGTGGCCATGTTAGCTTCTGAACTACTGCGCCTGCCAGCGTTTAAGCTGTCCAGGTTAAGCTGTGAGGTGGCCATGTTTGTTTGTCAAGTACCGCAGTTGTCAGGGTTTAAGTTGTGAGGTGGCCATGTTTGTTTGCAATATTTGCCACAGGTTGAGATGTGCGGTTGTTTACTTCTGAAATGCTGCGCTTGCCACGGGTTTAAGCTGTGATGTGGCCATGTTTGCTTCTGAAATATTGTGCCTGCGACGGGGTTGTTAGCTGCCAAAGTACTGCGCCTGCCACGGGCTTAAGCTTTTGAAACATTGGGCCTGCCGCTTTAAGAGATCTGTTGAATACGCGACGCTCCCAAGCGAGCGGCAATGCTGCGTCAGTGTGAGATGGACTGAAGCTGTCATATGCTTCTTTACAGCGTTCCACAGCAGCATTGCCGCCGGGGGTGTGGGGGTTCTGCGCTGCCCGCGCAAAAACTATTGGGAGAAAAAATGCAGCATCACATGGAGGTGAGGCCATGGCGGCCACATGGTATGTTCTTTATTTCGCAAGAGAGACGGAACATATCGAGGGACGAAAATCTGCGTGTGCTTTGAAGTTAAGGTCCCACACGGGGCACGTGTCCTCATTTTGGACTGCAGGCTTTCATGAAAGCAATGGATATCTTGGCTGGTGATCATCGCCAGCGTTTTTTGGTTTCAGACCATTCAGTCTTGACGTGTATTATATAGATTCGAGTCCCCGTGAGCCTCGCTTTGTCCTCGTGCCATTACGTTTTGCGTCCGAGGCCTGGCCTCGGGCAGGCCTCGGTGAGCCTTGGAGCGCCTCGAATGCCAACAAACCTGCTTCATCATGGCCCCTAAAACAGGGCCGGAAGAAGTGCTCAAAACATGGCTGCGATAGAGGGACCTCGACAGTAGCAAGCGGCCTTGGGACGCACAAAGAGAAAAAGGTATGTGTTGACATTCATGTTCAAGCTGCTGGGTCGCAAATCTGCTTGCAAAACATTTGCGGGCAGCAACGAAATTCTCCGATGGCTGACCCCATTTTTGGGTCCAAATATGGACCCCAAAATGGGGTCCAGAATTGGATCCACATTTTCATTCCTTCTTTTAGGTCTTTGCTTGGGCCCCGTTTTGGGGTCCAGATTTGGACCCAAAAGTGGGGCCAGCCATCGGAAAATTTTGCTGCTGCCCGCAGATGTTTTGCAAGCAGATTTGCGACGCACTAGCATGAGCGTAATGTGTTAATACATGCTTTTTTCTCTCTGTGCGTCCCAATTTGTTTCTTGTACAGTAAGACGGGTGTGAGAGTGAGGTCATTTGGACCCTTGCAACATGGTTCCCACGTGTGGCTTTTGGTTCAAACCCACCCTGACTTAGGGCCCTTGAGCTGTTGGTTGCAAAAACGGTCCCTAGCGCAATTCAAACAAACATGTTTAGATAAGTATCTTGGAATCGGACAAGGCTACGTTACTTGGTCGTTCATCCCACGGCTCGTAGGTGGGTTATATATAACCCCAATTATAAGTGGATTAACCCGCTCCTTATCCCATGTATATCACTGGGGTTATAACCCACTTACGGGCATGGGTAGTTTGCCACCAAGTAGCAAATATGTAAACCCCTAACAAGTCCCAGAGCAGGGCCTCAGAGCTTGACGAATTTTGATCTTTTTGGCCTCAGGGCGAAGGTGAAGAAGAAGGCTATGGAAACCTGGCTGCTGAAGAAGTTTTTTTTTTTTTCTGAGGCAAGACAGCCATGTCATTCTGAGTCTAATTGTTACTATCTAGAGATATCTATAGATAGTGCATATATTTTCAATCATGTCTATTTTTGAAGGTCCTCGTTGTAGTCTACGAACACCAATCATGTCAACCCCGGAGTGATAAACCCTGTGCAAACAGGGCTTCACCATTTTAGCAGATCATCGCTGTTGGGAGATGACCCGGGCGTTTTTTGAATGGGAACCCCAGAAAAAAACTCGGACCAATCAGGGCTTATCATGATCAAACCGGGCTTATCATGTCTTTGTTACTGGGATCAACCATTCGATCAACCATTCAAACATGGTTATCCTTAGTAAAAACCAAAGCCTGGATAGACCGATTGATAGACCGATTGATAGACCTTATCATGTCTGAACCAGCTTCCGCCAAGGAGATGAGTTCTAAATCTCACCATCCAGATGTGATGTGCAACCGAACTCAGCGCATCCTGTGCTGAGGTGTTGCAAAAAACTGTCAAGCCATTCCAAGTAGACGAGATATGACAAGATTGATGCACACAAATCATGTCAACATAGTCAATTTGTGCAGCGCCTATACATATATATATATATATATCACATGAATATGTGTCTATACTCAGGGATGATGCATAGACTGTTGTGTGGTTTGCAACTAGACCCACATTCGTTTTCATATCCCTACTATTTTCGGATTGGGATCGAATCTGACGCAACAATATGCTGTTTACCCAGCACACAAAGGGCAGAAAACTGATGTTTATGCCCCGTTCCCATGGTCCAAGTATCAGCCCACGAGAATATGGTGCAAAACAATGCCCTGCCATGAGCATCATGTGCATCCCAGTTAGTCATTGGATAACAACCGTACGGTACATCCAATGTATTTTTTTTTTTTGTACATGCTATAAATTCCACTAAATTCCTATGATGGGTTCATAATGGTTCATATATCCTATGAAATCCTATGATATCTGTGTTATACCCATGGTTATTTTCACTACCTGACCGGTCGATGTGCTTGTTTCACCACATCTGCGGCGGAGTTTCCACTTTTGCGGCTCCATGATGGTCAGATCAGCCCTGGAACATCGGTCAAAACTCCACATTTTCAACTGGAGTCCTGCGAAACACATCATTTCTGGCAGAATTTTCGGAGGTCACACAAAATTCATGTTGAAAATGATTGACAAAGCGCGATGCTTCGGGGCTTCCCACTTGATCATCTTGTTTTTTTTTGGGGGAGCACTTGGACGTGTGGTGCTGGCCATGATGGCGAGACATTTTTAGGGATCAGTTGGCTTTTCATCACATGTGAAACTATCCGCTCTGCAAGAATCACTTTTTTTTGATACATGTTTCGATATCGTTTTTTTGTTCAGATGTTGCTTAGTCATGCTGAGCCAGTGAAAATTCCACCAACAAAAAACGTTGCGACTCGCCATGTCGCGCGCGTTTTTCCTCCTGTGTTTGGCCACGGTGGGGATGGAACTGGGCAGGGCGGGGGATGAGGTCCGGATGTCAATTCTCTGGGGATTTCTACGAAATCGTAGCTGAATGAACTACCAGTTGTAGAATATAGTATCATATAGTACCTGTCCCACATTTGCCCCACATTCAGAGATGTGTTGGCCTGGCTCCAATGGTTTATGCTCCGCCTCTGCGGCTCAAGATTTGTAGCTCGAGCCGAAGCCGCCTGCGGAACGCGGAAGTTGAGGGCGGATGAGTTTGGAGGAGGAGCGAATTCATGCCTGGTTCTCTTTGGCCAGGACCATCTTGTCGGAAACTGGATGGGAGGCCCGAAAAAGTGGAGATTTGCGCAGTATGGTAAGTCATAATTATGGAAATCCCATGGATCTAGGAAAACGAGCTATAGAAATGATGGGTTTTGCATGGTTGTCCATGGTTTTCCATATCATTCTTGTGAGTATTTCCTGGTGCTCGAAAGCCAGGCAGCAGCTGCTTCAGAGGGGATGCAGGGTACACTGGGTACACTTTCGCATCGCCCACGGCCGTTGGGTGGACATTTGATCAAGTTCGACTTCCCTTCCATTCTCATTGAGGCGAGGTCCATGATGGCTGAAGCCAATTTTCCCCACCACTGCAGGAAGCTTTGGGGCACCATGACAGAGGGGATGGTTTTTTTTTAAAGATGCAGGGGAACACAGAATCCCATCTGATACCAAACACCCAGAAACCAAGAAGTGGGGGATTTACACATGTATGGACCCATTTGGGGTGTGTTTCACACTAGAGGGATGGGATTATTTTGGTCTTTTTGGTTGTATCCAATGAATTTTCCCGATTCCGACCATCGGCTTCATCGCCACCAGGGGGCAGCGACGTTGCCACCGGAGAACCTTTTGGTCCGTCCAGAGGTGCGTGGACTGTTGGAGCCCGAGTGGCCGCAACTCACAAGCGTGGGGGATTTCAAGCAGCTCGGCGGAGGCGGATTTTTTGTGGCAAAAATCGAGGTACCCCGGTGGAAATTCACGAACTGGCCATAACTGGGGGGTTCAGAGGCACACACACTTAGAAAAGCTACATTTTTGGAAACTCACTGCAAATCTTCGAGTTCGGGACAACTCAGAATGCCTGGAAAGCAGCATGGTTTCCACATAACTTGATGCGGCAACGAGGTTTCGTACGTTGAAGGTTTTCAGCCCGGGCGATGCCATGGTGCACCAGGAGGTTCGCTTGCCCATCTTGCGCTGCTCAGCTGCAATGAGTAAATCCAACAAGAAAATCTTGGGATTCCTAAAATGGAGGTACCCAAAAATGGAATTTGCCTAATGGAAAATCCAGTTGAAATGGATGATTTGGGGGATATTTGGGGGTATCCCCATTTTAGGAAACCTCCATTTGGGGCTCTTCCTCCCAATATTCAATGTTCCCCAAATCACACACTGGTTTGGTAGAGGATCTATTCATTGCTCCCAAACATTGGAATCTCACATTGGAGTCGCAGCTCTAGGTACTTGCGAATTGCTTTTTGGCGATTCCACGCCTGCCCGGCTGATGAGCAACTTCTTCTACAATCCGAGACGCAGCTGCAGTTGCGGTTGGTGGCAGGATTCTGTCAGGGTTGTCTTCCGCAGTTTTGATGAGGAAAGTGAGGTTGCAATGATGACATAAATGGACAAGAACAACGAATTCTCCTGTCTGGATCATCGAAACTAGTCCCCAACAAATCTGCCCATCGAAATCCCAGTTGGATTTACCATCTGCGGGTATTTCTACACGCCATAAGCGTCACACGCTGCTTTTAAACTCGGCAGATCTTTGAGTCATTCCCTGGGGGGCCAGGGTTGGTGGACTCCCATGACCACCTATAAAAATGCTGATGACTGGGGGGTGATTTAAATATTGTTTTAGCCACATGATCTGAACATGGGCTCATTTTCCCAATCTTTACCAGCGAGAATAGAGGAGTTTGGACTGATGGACATAGCAAATCTCTATATCAAAACCATCGAAATACATGCTGAAAACATATCTTGCTGAATAGTTTCACAAAGCTTAGCAAAAAAACTTCGTTGTAAAACTACTCTTAAACGAAATTCGATATGAAAAAAGGCACCAACAAAAAGATCCAATCCCCTGTTTCCAACAGCAGCTGCTGCGAGACCCAGGAATCAGGTACTTGCACGGCAGCAGCTGCGACGGGACTTTCCGGAGCCTGGACAATGCTGTATGGGATGGTTCCAGGAGCTTCGATGACGAAAAACTGCATGGGTAATTTGATGCGTGATTTACCCATGAAAAATGGTGATTTACCTATGAAAAATGGTGATTTACCGCAATTTCATGGTCTCATTTGGCAATTGTTCATGGTATCATGACTGTTTTTCCCCACCTGCCAGGTGAGGGTTGTTAGATTTTATGTCAGTTGCCTCCTCGTCCTCCTCCTCCTCCTTCTCCTCCTCCTTCTCCTCCTCCTCTCCTCCTCGTCCTCCTCGTCCTCCTTGTCATCCTTGTCGTCCTCTCGTTGTCCTCGTCGTCCTCGTTGTCCTCCTCGTCCTCCTGCTCAACTGCGACTCGCGATCCACAGTGTTCGCTGCCGGACCTCAACCACGACCATCCACGCCCAGTGTTCCCTGCCGGACCTCAACCACGACCATCCACGCCCAGTGTTCCCTGCCGGACCTCAACCACGACCATCCACGCCCACTGTTCCCTGCCGGACCTCAACCACGACCATCCTCGCCCAGTGTTCCCTGCCGGACCTCAACCACGACCATCCACGCCCAGTGTTCCCTGCCGGACCTCAACCCCGAGTATCCACGCCAAGTGTTCCCTGCCGGACCTCATGTAGGAAGATATGGGACAAAGAATGTGCAGAAGAAAGTTAGAAAGAATGTCAGAAAGAATGTCAGAAGATATGCCAGAAGATATGCCAGATAGAATGCCCAATAGAATGCCAGATAGAATGCCAGAAGATATGTCAGAATATATGCCAGAAGATATGCCAGATAGAATGCCAGATAATATGCCAGAAGATATGTCAGATAGAGTGCCAGATAGAATGCCAGAAGATTTGCCAGATAGAATGCCAGAAAATATGCCAGAAGATATGCCAGATAGATATGTCAGAAGATATGCCAGAAGACATGCCAGAAGATATGCCAGAAGATATGTCAGAATATATGCCAGAAGATATGTCAGATAGAATGCCAGAAGATATGTCAGAATATATGCCAGAAGATATGCCAGATAGAATGCCAGAAGATATGTCAGATAGAGTGCCAGAAGATATGCCAGATAGAATGCCAGAAGATTTGCCAGATAGAATGCCAGAAGATATGCCAGATCACATGCCAGATCACATGCCAGAAGATATGCCAGATAGAATGTCAAATAGAATGTCAGAAGATATGTCAGATAGAATGCCAGAAGATTTGCCAGTAAGAAAATGTATAAATGTCATGGTGGGGATCACACGAAGTAAAGTAATTGTGGGCTTTTTTTAAACCAAGTCGGTTTTTCGGAAGATTTGCCATCGGCTTTTTATAATTGGATGATGCCGCCCATCAGGAGCTGGGGACGTGGCAGGAATATATGACCATTGCGAGGCGAAGCGGGACGCAGGGCGAAGATGCCATCTATCGCATGGCTCCTTGGCGGCATGGCCTGAAGCCTTGGACAGTCTGGAGACTTGTGTGGAGTTAGACATGTGATACTCATTTGCTTACGGGGGATGGCTACATATTAATATATATATATAATTATGGCCATAATTATATATATATATATAACCAGCAAAAGTTGATGTCACATTGGCACAACTGAAGGTCTTTTGTTGTGAAATGGGGATTTAAACTACAACAATCACTTCAGTAACTTTGATACCCTCCGGTGTCATCAAGTTTGTGGCTGGACAATCCCCCCGTGAGTACCCACCCATGTATCATAGTGTTGGTTATATACTCACTATAGCCCCTAATTATACAGGTATATATATATAATATATATATATATATATTATACATAATATATATATATATGCAAGTGCTGGAACACTTGTCTCATACAGTCCAAACCATGGCTGTATTTCGAAGTCATTTGATGTCCGAGGAAAACAGGTTACTGCTGGGTAGCACACCGCTTTGCCGTGTCAAGGGATAGCTTGTAGCCATAGCCTCCAATCTTTGTGACTTGGGAACTTCAGTTCGCTGCTGACCTTGTTGGACCATCCCAGTTGGATGGTAGCTTTGAGCCTGAATTGAAACCAGGGACCGGAAAAGAAAAGGCCTGGAACGTTTTACCTTCCAGGAGACAACAGAGATGGCCGGGGTTCAGAAATCGAAAGATGGGGTACCTCAGTGGGATGGGGACTCTGCTTCGTTCCAAGAATATGAAGAAACAGCACTTCAATGGGAACAGAGCATAGCATACCATAAGAGGTACTTAGCTGGACCTAGGTTGGTAGCTGAACTGTCAGGATCAGCTCGGAAGCATGTGATGGGGAAGCGGCCAGAATGGCTGTCCTATGACGGGGGTGTGGCACATTTGCTGAGCCACCTTCGTAACTGCCTGGGACGACCCACCATTCCGGAGCTGACCGAGTTCCTCAACCGCTACTTCAGACAGAGTAGACGCAGAAGATTCGAGACCATGAATCAGTATATCACCAGGAAGAATGAGATCTACCACCGTGCTCGCCAGGCACTTTCTCGAGTACAAAGCCATTACCAACGAGATCGTGATCCAAGGCCTGCATGGCAAGGAAAGCACTGGTGGCAGCCCCCCCATCAGACTTGGTGGGAAGGCTGGCAGCCAGAGACTCCCTCAGAGGCACCTGTCAGTGAGGTTGAGCCCGGTGCTTCCGAACCAGCGGCAGTCGGGTCTGAGCCCACAGGAGGGCCTGCAGATGATGATGATCGCTGGGAGCACTATGTACACCACACGTCCTCTCACTACCAGTCATGGCAGTGGACCTCACAGCCAAAGGCGAGCTATGGGAGTGGGAGCACCTATGATCCCAGCGAGGATGAGCCTTGGAAGCTTCACACCGATGAGCTCCTTCTTGAATTTCTTCAGGGATGGTACATGTTGATCGATGCGGGTTTGGACAGCACCTCCCGCAACATGGTCCAGACAGCCCTCAAAGAGGATTACCGAGTGAATCGGGTGTCGCAAGAACTACGACAACAGTGGCCTGATGATGACCTGAAGAAGTTTGACCAGCAGAACAAGGGCACTGCCTATCTCCAGGATGAGGTGGACGCCGAGGATGATGAGTGGCCAGACGCCTGGGCCACAGATGATCTCACCGAAGAAGCACAGGTCCTTTTTGGAGCTGCAGAAAAAGAAGCTCAGGAAGCCTATGCGATGATACAGCAAGGACGAAGAACCTTGCGTGAAGCTCGAGCTCGTCAACACCAAATGAGGTTGAATCGTCAGTACTACAAGAACACCTTTTCCAAGGACAAGGTCTATGGCAACCGCTCCTCTTCTTCTTCGCAGAGTAGTTCCAATGTGGCGACTTGCCTGCGTTGTGGCAAACAGCACAGGACCTCAGACTGCCCCATTGGCCGCGACAAGTCCGAGGGGCAGCCACAGGCCCAGCATGCAGAAGAGGCACCGTTTGTATGTTTCACAGAAGACCCAGTGGCTTGTGCGGCTCAGACGACTCAGTCCTTGAAGTCAACTCGTGAGGCCGTGATGTCTGGCTATGGAGTGATTGATGGTGGTGCAACACGCACGTTGGGCTCAGTCACCGCAATCCAGTCCGTGATGGACCTCAACCAGAACAAGTACGGTGACCATGGTATCACCGAAGTGGACGTAGCCAACAAGCCCACGTTTGGTTTTGGCAATAGCTCTCAGAACCAGTGTATCTCTACGGCCCAACTCAAGATCAAGGCCAATGGGAAGCCAGGCACCTTGCAGATCCACGCTCTGAACCAAGGTCAAGGACCTATCTTGATCTCCATCGACACCTTGCGCCAGTTGAAGGCAGTGATTGACTTCAGCGAAGATCTGATGGTGCTTCGCGCCCTTGATGACTCCAAGATGATTCCCCTAGAACGCTCAGCTGCAGGACACCAATTGCTGCCGCTGACTGAGGACCTGATGAAGCATGCAATGCCATGCACTCGACAGGTTCCCAGCCTTAGGAGTTTTTGCTAGGGACATCTCCTCTCTGATTCCCCGCCTGAGGAAGAAAGGGAGGGCAGTTTGTGTCAGGCAACTGTTTTGACAGCCACCGGTCATTTGAAACATGAACACATGTCATGTCATGATCATGAGGGTTGTCACGGTGTTGATGGTTTGTGTAGCCGTAGTGATGTCATTGCTGCCAGTGAGTTTTCACACACACACACACCACAGCATGCGCATCACAGAAGTTTGAGGGACCAAAATTCGAAGTGCCCAGTGAACCTACCTCATCGGCATCTACAACTGAGTGCCATGTCTCGCATGAGTCAGAAGGATCTTCGTGCCGAGATCCAGCGGTTGGGAGAGGATCCTCCTCAGAAGTGGACCAAGGCCGAACTACAGCACCGCCTGTCAGAGCTCTATGTGGAAAAGGATGTGACACCACCGGGCCAGAAACCTCCGACCGCCCTGCGCCAGCAGGTGATCGCCATGAACACCAACAGCAAGACCAAGAAGCTCCTGCAGATGTGGTGCCAAAATACGTTGGGCATGCCAATCTCGGGCAACGAGACAATCCCTCAGTTGCAGAGTGCTGCAATGACCCGCATCTACCAGGAGACCACTCCGGATGCGCAGGATCCAGTGGGATTTAGCAAGGCAGCCTCCCTGACTTACCAGGAGATTGCCACCGACCAGCAGTACTGCAATTGGGTCAAGACTACAGCGGCCGAGGGAGGTTGCTCAGTTCAGCTTTCGCGCCTAGCGAAGTGGCTGGTGACCCAAGAGACTCAGCCCACACGCACCATGGATGTCAAGATGAACTACCTCAAACAGGAGCCATCGCCGGTGAAGAACAAGCCTATGCAATCAGTAGACCTCAAGAGCAGTGCCAGCCAGTCCAGCATGAGCGACTCCACGGTACAGATCCTATGTCAGCTGACCGAAGCTGTGAAGGACCTCAAGGAGGAAGTGGCAGATCTTCGCCAAGATCAACCTCGACGCACCCGGAAGAAGGACAGCGAGATCAGTTTCAGCATGGTGAGCGAGCAGAATCCGTGAACAGTTCCGTCCTGCACAATGAAGTGCCTAGCTTAGTTGATCCATCACAGGAACGAAGATTCCTAACTGAGTCAGCCGCCAGACACTTAGAACAGCAGTCGTGGAACTTAGCTCCAGGGTTTTTCCAGTCACTTGTTCAGGATCACCAAGAGAAAAGAACTTTATTTATGGAGGTTGCGTGTTCCCCTGAAAGTGTTTTGAGTTCTGAGATTCAAAAACATGCTGGATATCCTGAAGCTGCCATTAGATGTGCTCACTGGAATAATCATGATTTGCGCACTGATGCGGGGGTTCGGTTGATTTTAGATACCATTGATGCCAAAAGACCTTTGCACGTGTGGATCTCGACAGAATGCGGACCATACTCCCCAATGCAAAATTTAAATCAACGTACTGAAGCCCAGCGTGCCGAGCTGGAGGAAAAACGCCGTGATGCGCTGCGGCAATATGTGGGAGCTAGCTGTGTCTTGCATTATGCCATTCAAAAAGGTATCCACACGACTTGGGAATGGTCTCACAAATGTCATGCTTGGCGATTGCCTTTGATTCAGAAAATCATGCAACGGTATCAGCCTTGGATTAGCGTTGTGAATGGTTGTCAAGTGAACCTCAGGGATGAAAAGACCAAGAACCTCTTGCATAAGGGATGGAAAATCATGACCACTCAACGGCGCATGGCCCAAATGTTGGATTTACCCTGTCGATGCCCCAAAAACATGGAACATCAAAGGTGTGAGGGTAAGATGACTTCCCAAAGTGCCTTCTATACGGTTGAGTTTGCGAAAAGGGTTGCCAAATGTGTCATGCAGGAACTCACTCATACGATGTTGGTTGATGAAATCAGGGGTGAAACTCAATTGGTTCCTTCGTTTGGTAGTGGGGCATGTTGCATGTGTGATGAACTTGAAGCTCATGGTAGGAAACAAACTTGTGGTTCTTGTCTGTTGAATCAGGGTTATCGGGGACATGTTGTCGGTTCATGTGAAAAGACGGATTTTTCAATGGTGAATGAATTGGGACATGATGCTACTGGTTCTGTTCAAAAATCTGATGCGTTTATTCAAAAACAATTATATCAACTTCATGCTGCTACTGGCCATGGTAGCGTTCGAAATCTTGTGGATGCCCTGAAAAAGCGTGGTGTTTCCCGTAGGGTTGTGGAACTTGCCCAGAAATTCCAGTGTCCGGTGTGCATGGAAAAACGAAAGGTGTCACACAAACATGTTGCCTCTTTGGAAGCCCTGCCCCCGAAATGGGCCACCATTAGTGGGGATGGGGGAAAATGGATTCATCCTCATACTGGGGAACATGTTGAATTCCTTCTGTTGATTGATGAGGGTTCACGTTTTCGTATGGGGAAAATCATGTGTAAGGGTCGCAAGCAAACCATGAATGCCATGATGTTTACCAACTACTTGAGGGAAGGATGGTGTCAGTATTTTGGGTTTCCACAAAACTTGCGTTTGGATCCAGCTGGTGCTTTCCGTAGCAATGAAGTAGAAAGGTTTTGCGACAAACATGGCATATACCTTGATTTCATACCGGGCGAGGCCCACTGGAAGTTGGGAGTTTGCGAACAGGCCATTCAGGGTGTAAAGACCCTAATGGATAAACTGGCTGAAGGTGACCCAAAGATTTCACCGGAAGAGGCCCTCAGCACAGCCATACACACCTTCAACAACAGGGAACTGGTACGGGGTTTTTCCCCGTCACAGCATGCGTTTGGAAGAGCGCCGGATGAGACCGGACGTTTTGTGCAATCACTGACAGGGCAACCAACAGAGCAGTTTTTACCTCACCCAGGGACTGACTTTGAGACCACAGTGGAGCGCATGAAACAAGCAGAACAAGCTCATTCTGAATGGAACGCAGCTGAAAGAATCCGACGTGCCCTGCAATCCCGTGGCAATAGACCACAGAATTACCAGCCTGGAGATTTGGTGTTTTACTGGAGGAAACAAGTATCTGGAAAGTATCACACCAGTCAACAGCAAAAGACTGGCTGCTTTTTGGGTCCAGCAAGGATCTTAGCCACCGAGACTCACCGAGATTCAGATGGCAACCTGCGACCTAGCAGCTCAATCTGGGTTATTCGTGGTCGACGGTTGATCAAGTGTTGCCCCGAGCAACTTAGACCAGCCACACAACGTGAAGAACTTCTGGAGCACCTACATGAAGATACCGAGAACAAAGCACCATGGACTTTTACAAGATTGACCGATGGTCTTGGGGGAAATGAGTTTGAAGATGTCACCTCACAGGTACCTACCCTGGAAGAATGGCACCAAGGACAAAGTGATCCTCAGCTATCAACTTCCTCAAGTTCAAGACCACAACACTCCAGTGGCTCTCAGATGCCAGTGGAGATGGACCCACCAGATGCGCCTATGGCACCACCAGCAACACCCAGGATGCGTGTCTGGGGAAAGCGCAGTGAGCAGCCAGCTCCAAGCAGCACTCCTCCTCTCACACGACAGCGAGTAGGAGCTCCCGAAGCTGGAGCAGAACTGGTAACTCAGGAGGCTTGGTACAACATGACGACGGAGACAAGCCGCCAAGAAGCATGTGGCAAAGATCAGTGGCAAGACTCCACATCCATCGTGGAGGTGGCCATAGACTTGCCTGAGACCAACCGCAGCCGACGGAGCTTCATCAATGACCTGGAGGGTTACTTTGTTGGCGCCTTAAAGAGACGTGCAGTGGAGGTCAGCATGAAAAACCTGACCTCAGCAGAACGAGAAGGTTTTGAACAAGCAAAGGCAGTGGAAGTGAAGAATTTCATTGCGGCAAGGGCATTCGAGGCTTTGCCCCCTGAGCTACGACCTCCAGAAGAAAAAGCTATCAAGATGAGATGGCTTCTTACCTGGAAAGTCAAAGAGGACGGCAGTACCAAGCCCAAGGCTCGGGCAATTTTGCTTGGGTACCAGGATCCAGAGTACGAACATCGATCTACAACATCACCGGTGATGACCAAACAAACACGACAACTGATGCTAGCAGCAACAGCTCGTTTTGGTTGGAAGGTTTGGAAAGGCGATGTAACAGGTGCTTTCCTACAAGGACGTACGTATCCTGGCGAGCTCTATTGCATACCATGTGATGAGATATGCAGCGCAATGGGCCTCGACAAAGGCAGCATCACACGTGTGAGAAAAGGCTGCTATGGTTTGGTGGACGCCCCCATAGAGTGGTATCGCTCCGTGAGCGAATATCTGGAAACACTAGGTCTGGTAAAAAGCTGGAGCGATCCATGCTTGTGGATGTGGAAACCTCAAGGAAAACTGCAGGGCCTGATAGCAGGACATGTGGACGATTTCCTTTTTACAGGGCCACCTCACTGCCCAGCCTGGAACGAAATTCTGGAATCCATCAAGAACAAGTTCAAATGGACCGACTGGGAGACCAAGTCTTTTACCCAGTGTGGAGTTTTGGTGGAGGAACAGCCGGATGGGTCTTTTCACCTGTCTCAGAAACAGTATGTGGAGAAGATACCAGAGATTTTCCTGAATGCCACACGCAAAAAGCAGAGCAATGAGACCACCACTGACCGCGAAAAAGGGCAACTACGTGCCACACTAGGCGCACTGAGCTGGTATGCCCAGCAGACGGCACCACATGTGTCAGCAGAAGTAGGCCTTTTATTGTCAGAAGTTTCTAGCAGTACAGTGGAGACAATTGTAAAGACCAATCGTCTCGTGTCTTTTGTAAAGGCCCGGAAGGACCACAAACTTGTCATCCATGCCATTCCTGAAAGCATCCCTGTGGGAGTTTTTACCTGGGCTGATGCCGCTGGCCAAAACCGTCAGAACGGAAGCAGCACACAAGGTATATTTGTAGGTCTGGCACCAATGACCATGTTGGCAGGCGAGGTCTGTAAGGTTCTTCCCATAGCTTGGCATTCCAATAAGATAGAACGACAGTGTAGAAGCCCTGGAGCTGCCGAAGCTATTGCTGCTACTGCCGGTGAGGACTACATGTACCATGTTCGGTTTCAATGGAGTGAGTTCATGTCACCTGAGGTTGATATTTTTGATGTTGATTCCTTGGTTCGGAAAACACCCGGTTGTCTTGTTTCGGATAGTCGTAATGTGTATGACAAGTTGCAAAGTGATGAACTTGCAATTAAGGGTGCTGAACGGAAAACCGACCTTGAACTTCTTTGTTTGAAACACTCTCAAAGGGTCACTGACTTGCAACTGAGATGGGTTCATAGTGAAGCACAAATTGGCAATGCGTTAACTAAGGGACAAGCTAAGGAACTTGAGATGTACTATAACCTCCATTTTCATTGGCGACTGGTTAGCGACGAGCAGATGCGATCAGCACGAAAGAGACGACAAGAAGGTCTTGATGTGCTTCAACAGGTCAATGGTGCACACACACAAACACAGGTTTCCACTCATGGCACAATGGGATGACTGGCTTTTTGTTGTTTTTTTTTCTGTTGTCTTGTTGTTTTGGTTTTTGTTTTGTGTTAGTGAAGGAATTTTCAAAGTCCGGAGTGGCGGGGATGCAAGTGCTGGAACACTTGTCTCATACAGTCCAAACCATGGCTGTATTTCGAAGTCATTTGATGTCCGAGGAAAACAGGTTACTGCTGGGTAGCACACCGCTTTGCCGTGTCAAGGGATAGCTTGTAGCCATAGCCTCCAATCTTTGTGACTTGGGAACTTCAGTTCGCTGCTGACCTTGTTGGACCATCCCAGTTGGATATATATATATATTATACATAATATATATACATAATATATATATATATAATACACACACACACACACCTTGACAATCTAGTACCTTAACTCCTCCACGAATCGAAGATTTTAATTCAATCCATCCCAGAGCCACGTTTTGAGGTGGTTTGCTTCAGTGCGCCGAAGGACCTCCCGCGGGCCAACTGGGCCAGTCCCTTCTACAGCAGCTTGATCTCCTCAGCCACGCAGGTACCGGCCTCGGTTGGGGGGGTATAGCCTAGACACAACCGGATGGGTCTGTTTCTTGGCGTATTTCCCCAACATTTTAACTATTTTGAATAGGGAAATATGCTGATAAACCATGAAAGATATTGGGGTATTTTCAAACAACACCAGTTTTTTTTGATTTTCACGGGGAATATGGGACATGTTACCAAATATTGGATATGTTCGAGCCATTGCAGACGATACATTGACGATAAGACTGCAACAACATACTGAACAGATGGCCATATGAAGATTTTGAGGTTTCCAAAAATTGGGGGATCCCCGGATCATCCGTTGTAAATTTTTGTTTTGATCATGAACACCATCCAGCTATTGGGGTTACCCCCCATTTGTGGAAGGATGGAACCCCCTATTTTTGGGGAAAACTGAGAAGTTCATTCCCAGGCCAACTAGGCTGATTCCAAGTTTTGAGCTAGGCAGCACATAGCCCAGTGACTCCGGGAAGGGCCACAACTTGACCAATATTTGAACAAATCTGCTGAAGTTACCAGAGGTTTTTTATTCCCAGAAGTTTCAATGACCCACTGTGACCATGGTGAATGACATTGGTGAATGACATTCACAGTAGATGTATATCCTCAGAATTTCTCATAAATTTTAGAGTAGATGTATATCCTCAGAATTTCTCATCAATTTTCATGGTCAAAACCGAACTGAATGTCTAACTCTTTAGGCTCCAGTGCCTCGGCGAGTTTCGGGTCAGGTGATTTGTGAAGTTTTGAATCGGCCTGGTGTCAAAGCATTGCGAGACTTAGCTGCTCGGCGGCATTGGGAAACTGGGAAACTGCTGCGAAACGAAAAACGTTTTTTTCGTATGGACTTAAAGAGTTGACGTAGCAACCATAGATTTGAAGTCTAACTAACTAACTCACAAAGTCCTGATCCAGACTTGGATGTTTTTTTTTCATGTCGTGTAGAGAATGGGCACCTGCGTTTGCCCCTCATTTGCGGTCCGATTTGCTGTCCCATTTGTTGGCTGAAAACAGGTATGATCAATTCTTTTGAGAACAAACATATACACACCCACATAGTAACATAGCTACCCACAAAGCTACTTACATGCATCCATCATGATCCACCATGATCCACCAAAATTAAATGATGCACCAATACATAAAAAATACAATGCCATACCATATCATATCATACCGGGTATTACCTTAACATCATAGAATGTCATATCGAATACACGACATACACCATGAACTATAACAAATAACCGTTCAGACATGAAGTCTTGAACATAGAATATGATGTAATATGATATCATGTAGTATTTTTTAAAAGTATACTCTAGTACAACCCGTTAAAAAACTACAGGATGACAACCTGTGAACACTTCTTAAGTCTCTTAGGTGCCATTACCTAAAGAATCCTCATCTCCGATTTGGATAAAACTTCAGCAGGGAAAAACCCATGGTGTTTGCATATGTTTCCATCAGCCAAGTTGGGGATGTCTCAAAATTTTAAAAGGCAACCTAAATTGATAGGAAAACCACAGGAAGATGATGGAAAATGGTGATTTAATCAACTAATGCTTATCCCCTGGTTACTGGTTGCATTCTTTGGCGGCGGTTTACGGTGCCGTGCGCTTCTGAGGATGCGAATTTCTACATCATCCTCTCCTTGCGCAACTTCAATCGTGGGCCACCCATGCTGCCAGCAGACTCCCAGGATTCAGTGAGTATGAGTATTTCGGGTGGAGAGCCTTGGTGTGGTCTTTCAGGCTAATTCAGGGATGTGTTTTTTATAGACAGTATCTACATACAATGTATAGATATATCAATGGAACTATCTAGATGTAGTTAGGACATGGTTGGCAAGTGTGTATATCGTCGCCATATATTCCAATATATCATATCCCAGTTCTGGATACATTGCAATGACCTTGCTGCGACGTCACAAAAAATGATGGTGTCCTACAAGGGAAATCATCCCCAGATGGCCGAACTTTTGCAGATAGGTGAATTATTGTAATTTATCAACTTGTATATATATATATATATGCACATACATATGTATATCTACAATATATATAATATACATATGATATACAGATAGGTAGACATATCTCTACGTCTAAGTCTATGTAGAACCACTGGTCATTTCAGGCAGTTGCTTATTAGGCGGCCCCAGTGGTCAAAAGTGGGGGTCGCCTCACAAAACCCCAAAGTTATGAGTTGTTGAGCTAGTCACTCTCTTTTGGTGACAAGGATGGCACTAAAAAAACTTGTGGATATATTCTGAATTGACACCAGCCACGGCCTCTAGGATCTGGGTTTGTGCTGCTGGACGGACTATAGGATGGAGGGCACCAAATTCCACTTTTCTGAGCTCCTGAACTGGGGCAGCCACTGGAGGGTTGTTGGGAAAAGGACAACAGAATCCCAACAAGATGAAGATGGGTGGAGAACTGTAGCAAGATGGGGTGTTTTTTGCTTGTTGAGGTGACACTTTTTGAGACGAGCCGCTGGGAGATGTGATAGAACGTTGGGGTGAATGGCAAGGTATGTGCATAGGCATATTTCAAAATTGAGACCCCTTGAAATTGTGTAAATTCATAGGGTCCGGGTGAACATGAAGTCTTATAACAGCCTCAAGCGGGTATGGGTCAAGAATTTTCAGGTCCAGAACACTAGAACTGTACATGTTCACTGTGAATCATCCATTTTTTTTTGTGCCCCAATTTTGAGACATGCCCAGATTGGAAGTTTTCTATCACCTGGACCGATGCTTTGTCCGCTGTTGCGTTGCACAACTTGGTTACCCTCCGGTAAACTAACATAACCATGGAAAATCACCATGCTATTCATGGGTAAATCCACTATGTCTATTGCCATTTTCAATAGCTTTTTGTATGTTTACCAGGCCGGGTAACTGTAGCCAAGTTCACCTGCTAGGCCATGCCAGTGAAATCCGGTGATCAAGATCTGCAACCACCAAGATGGAGGTTACGTCATGGGGGTACCCCAAGCTCGCTGGTTGGTTTAGGATGGAAAAGCCTATCAAAAATGGATGACGATGACTAGGGGTTCCCCAGATGACTTAGGTTTCACCCCCAGGTTTCAAAGCCAGATATTTTTCACTCAAAAAGACATGTGCAGTCAACATCAGGCATCTAACAACCAAACTTTCACCTCCTTTAAATAATTAACAGATACGTTTCGTCAACTGTATCTTGTCCAGGTGGAGATTCATAGTGTTTACCAAAAACGCCATAAATTGGGAAAGCTGCAAGCCCCAAAATCCCCTAAAATAGTGAGATCACCATCCTTGTTGGGCATCTTTTTGATTCCAGGGTCCAGGGTCTTTTCCAGCGAAATTTCCTCGAATTTTCCCCAGGTATCTGCGGTGTTTCCTGAAGAAGTTGTCCCTTACTGCAGACATCTGGGACTCTTTGGACGGTCGAAGATTGGTTCCCTACCAGTGCGTCATGCAGCGCACAGAGTGGGACCAGATCAAGGACCCACACGTTGCCGTGGGGGGGTGGAGCCAGGGGGGATTGTACGGTGATCTGCTTGGTGGCGAACTACCCACGTTCATCGTGGTTGTGGGTTAGTGAACTACCCAGTTTTTTGAGTGGATCAACCCGCTCCTTGTCCCATGTAAATCACTGGGGTGAACTAACCCACAACCACGAGCCGTGGAATGAGCCACCAAGTACCAATCCTTTTTTTTGGGGGTTCTGAAGATTTAGGGGAACACAGCCCAATCTGATGGTTCATGATTTTTGGACAGTGGCTATTTGGAGGTATAGCCAGGTATACCCCATTGTTAGACAGATCCATATATTGGGATTATCTTAATCCATGAACTGGGAACGCCGTTCTCAACCAGCATTCCATGGAACCATAAAGGTTTTTTCAGTGAGGCTCACTTTGGTTGAAACTTGCCCGGTGGATCAAACACGATTTGCAGATCCGAAAATATACATTGGGATGTTGCTGAAACATGTAGCTCCAATAGGGAAGGGATCAAGTTATTCAAAGCACCACAACCGCAGTTACCGGTGAATGACCTGGTCCTTGGGAAGGTTCATCATCCAGTTCTGCCAGGGCAATCAATCCATAACTTGTGCTGGTTGAAAATATTGGCATTTTCGGAGTCATTGATGAAAAAACACACCAACCAACAACCAAGAAGCAAATTGCGAAGCTGTGCAAAACCTAGAACGACCAGGTCAACATCCCATCTTTTGGGTTGATATTCCATGATTTTCCCATAGGTTTCCCACAATTTTCCTATATTTTCCCATAGTTTTCCCATAATTTTCCTATATTTTCCCATAGTTTTCCCATAATTTTCCTATATTTTCCCATAGTTTTCCCATAATTTTCCTATATTTTCCCATAGTTTTCCCATAATTTTCCTATATCTTCCCATAGTTTTCCCATAATTTTCCGGTTTTCCCACAAGTTTCCCATATTTTCCCATAGTTTTCCCATAATTTTCCCACAATTTTCCCATAGTTTTCCCACAATTTTCCCATATTTTCCCATAGTTTTCCCATAATTTTCCTATATTTTCCCATAGTTTTCCCATCGTTTCCAGGAAAATCCATGGCCTGGTGGCCACCTCCCAGGACTCCGTCCGGCCCGCCCTGACGCTCCAGAAGACGGCCTACCGCCGCGCACGGGGTGGCACCACCGCGCCCAGCGGCTCGGAACGCGACAGAACGACCGGGGGGGTTTTGGGACATGTGATGGTTAGTTCTATCCCATTATTTGTTTTAAAACATATATATATATACATATATATAGATATAATATATATATATATAATAGGATATATAGATTATAAAATATAATTCTACTTGGTGGCGAACTACCCACGGCGAGTTAAAGTGGGTTATAACCCCAGTGATTTACATGGGACAAGGAGGGTTAATCCACTTATAACTGGGGTGAACTAACCCACTTACGATTCGTGGGATGAGCCACCAAGCAGATCACAATATACCG